CAAGTAAGATAGAAGATAAAGAACAACGGTGTTGTAATGTTATCAGCAGACTACCTTTGATCTTTTCAATGTCCTTTAAGTAGAATACACTGAAAAAAACTCAAACCCCCCCACTAGAGGATAATCGTAAAGCGTCACATGGTGATTATATAAGAGGAATCCTATTTATTTTGGGGTCAAAGACTTCAAAAGGACTTCCTCTAAACTAATAACTTTTATGTTGTATTTTCCACTAGTACTTTGTTTGTTATAAACTCTAGCGAACTTATGTTTTGAGTGTAATGAGAGATATAATGTCTTGGGAATCTTGGGATTCACTTCAACAAGTTTCACCATTTGAAATAATGGTTTAGGTTCCCCTTGTGTTCATCATCAATATCTTTACTGTGGATAAGTAATGCCTTATGTCCCATGTAGTTTGTTTAAATAATTGGAAATATTTCATAATTAAGGAAGCACCATTTGATAAAAAAAAAAAAAAAAATCGATGCAGAAAGTCATAGGAAGTATAGGGTTATTTTTTTCCAATTTTATCGAGGGAATTCATGTTTTCGCTCCTTTCGGGTTTCTTATAGAGATGTTTTATCGCAGATAACTTACAAGGTATATGTATATGTATTTTTATTTGTAGAAAACTAATGTTTTTGGTTCGTTATCATCTGTTTACTTATTTCCTAGGTTCCCTGGAGTATTAAAACTTGTTTTTTTTGCAGAGAACTATTGTCCGAGGTCGCCTGGGTTTCATAATTAACATTTTACTCTCGGCAGTGTCGTGTTTATGTCTTAGTTCCCTGGATTTCTTAAAAAACATGTTTACTGTCGAACTCTTGCGTTCTTTATTATTATCTATTAATTAAGATATATTTCCTATGTCCCTGGGGTTCCATGTAAATGTGTTTAATTGTAAAGAGCTAATGTATTGATTCATAATGGGTTCATTTTAAAACTGTCCTTTATTAACATGCTTTACTCAAAAACATCATTAGCCCCCTCACCCTAAAACATCAATAAATAAATGTTAATTAAAAGCATGTTTTACTAAAGCGGAACCGATGGCGAGTTATTTCCAAGTCGTACATAATTTACACTTTGGAGTGCATACAAGTATAGTCAGTGAGTGACAGGAAAACATTTTACTGGTTGTGCTACATGACCATTGTTTACTAACTTCCCATGCCCCAGGTATTAATTATAAATAAGTCGTAGTGCTGAGAATCAATTTCCAAGCCTCGATTAATGTTCGTTATAAATGTTTTACTGCAGTGATTAATCTCAGTTGTTCTTCTGGTTTGATTTGTTTGTATTTTACATCCTATTAACAGCTATGGTCATTTAAGGACGTGCCAGGTTTGGTTTGGTTTGTTTGTATCTTACATCCTATTAACAACTATGGTCATTTAAGGATGTGCCAGGTTTGGTTTGTTAGTGTTTTACATCCTATTAAAAGCTATGGGCATTTAAGGATGTGCCATGTTTGGTTTGTTTGTGTCTTACATCCTATTAACGACTATGGTCATTTAAGGGTGTGCCAGGTTTGGTTTGATTTGTTTGGATTTTACTTCCTATTAACAGTTATGGTCATTTAAGGACGCGCCAGGTTTGGTTTGGTGTGTTTGTATTTTACATCCCATTAACAGCTATGGTCAATTAAGGACGTGCCAGGTTTGTTCTGATTTGTTTGTGTTTTACATCCTAATAACAGCTATGGTCATTTAATCACGTGCCAAGTTTGGTTTGATTTGTTTGGATTTTACATCCTATTATCAGCTATGGTCATTTAAGGACGCGCCAGGTTTGGTTTGGTTGGTTTGTGTTTTACATCCAATTAACAACTATGGTCATTTAAGGATGTTCCAGTTTTGGTTTGATTTGTTTGTGTTTTACATCCAATTAACAGCTATGGTTCGTAGTGCTGAGAATCGATTTCCAAGCCTCGATAAATGTTCGTTATAAATGTTTTACTGCAGTGATTAATCTCAGTTGTTCTTCTGGTTTGATTTGTTTGTCTTTTACATCCTATTAACAGCTTTGGTCATTTAAGGACGTGTTTTACGTCCTATTACATATATAATTAACAGCTATGGACATTTAAGGATGTGCCATGTTTGGTTTGTTTGTGTTTTCCATCCTATGAACAGCTATTGTTATTTAAGGATGTGCCATGTTTGGTTTGTTTGTGTTTTACATCCTATTAACAACTAGGGTCATTTAAGGATGTGTTTTACGTCCTATTAACAGCTATGGACATTTAAGGATGTGCCATGTTTGGTTTGTTTGTGTTTTCCATCCTATGAACAGCTATTGTTATTTAAGGATGTGCCAGGTTTGGTTTGTCTGTATGTTACATCCTATTATCAGCTATGGTCATTTAATCACGTGCCAAGTTTGGTTTGATTTGTTTGTGTTTTACATCCTCTGAACAGCTATGGTCATTTCAGGATGTGCCAGGTTTTGTTTGGTTTGGTTGTGTTTTACGTCCTAATAACAGCTATGGTCATTTCAGGATGTGCCAGGTTTGGTTTGACTTGTTTGTTTTTTACATCCTATGAACAGCTATGGACATTTAAGGACGTGCTTTACGTCCTATTATATATATATTTAACAGCTATGGTCATTTAAGGCCGTGCCAGGTTTGGTTTGATTTGTTTGTATTTTACATCCCATTAACAGCTATGGTCAATTAAGGACGTGCCAGGTTGGGTTTGTTTGTGTTTTACATCCTCTGAACAGCTATGGTCATTTAAGGAAGTGCCAGGTTTGGTTTGTCTGTATGTTACATCCTATTAACAGTTATGGTCATTTAAGGACATGCCAGGTTTGGTTTGGTTTGTTTGGATGATACATCCTATTAACAGCTAAGGTCATTTAAGGTCGTGCCGGGCTTGGTTTGGTTTGTTTGGATTTTATATCCTTTTAACAGCTATGGTCATTTAATCACGTGCCAAGTTTGGTTTGATTTGTTTGTTTTTTACATCCTATGAACAGCTATTGTTATTTAAGGATGTGCCATGTTTGGTTTGTTTGTGTCTTACATCCTATTAACAACTAGGGTCATTTAAGGATGTGTCAGGTTTGGTTTGTTTGGGTTTGACACCCTATTAACAGCTATGGTAATTTAAGGACGTGCCAGGATTGGTTTGGTTTGTTTGTATGTTACACCCCATTAACAGCTATGGTCAATTAAGGACGTGCCAGGTTGGGTTTGGTTTGTTTGTGTTTTCCATCCTATGAACAGCTATTGTTATTTAAGGATGTGCCAGGTTTTGTTTGGTTTTTTTGTGTTTTCCGTCCTATTAACAGCTATAGTCATTTAAGGATGTGCCTGGTTTGGTTTGTTTGTCTGTTACATCCTATTAACAGATATGGTCATTTAAGGACATGCCAGGTTTGGTTTGGTTGGTTTGTGTTTTACATCCTATTAAAAGCTATGGTCATTTAAGGCCGTGCCAGGTTTGGTTTGTTTGTATCTTACATCCTATTAACGACTATGGTCATTTAAGGGTGTGCCAGGTTTGGTTTGGTTTGGTTTGTTTGGATGATACATCCTATTAACAGCTTTGGTCATTTAAGGACGTGACAAGTTTGGTTTGATTTGTCTGTATGTTACATCCTATTAACAGCTATGGTCGTTTAAGGACGTGCCAGGGTTGGTTTGGTTTGTTTGGATGATACATCCTATTAACAGCTATGGTCATTTAAGGACGTGCCAAGTTTGGTTTGATTTGTTTGTATGTTACATCCTATTAACAGCTATGGTCATTTAAGGACGTACCAGGTTTGGTTGGTGGAGGAAAGCCGGAGTTCCGGAAAAAAACCAACGACCTGCTGCCAGTACATGGCGACTGCCCCACGCAGGTCCGGAGAAAAACCAACGACCTACGGCATTAACCACTTGGCCCCATCTGGTGTTCTATATAAACATATTTAACTGTATAGCTATCTATAACTATTTCTTCATGTTAGGCTAATACATTGAGTACAGTTGACTTACACCACAAGGTCTTCAAACTGTCATGTTTATAGTACTGTTTACTTTGATACTGGTACACAGTAGCTCTCGGTCAAGGAACTGACCAAAGGTCAATCGTTTAGATCACTGGTATGATGGACAATGATACGTTCCCCTAAGACCATTTAATCTTAAAGTTTTATTGGCAAGTACATTTTTTACATTATTAAGTTCACTTTTTCATATTCGTTCAATCACTAGTCGCCTGATTGGTTTATTGAGTTAAGTGTCCTATTAACAGATGATGTCATGTGAAGATGTACACTCATGTGTGTAGTGTTTGCTTATGTGATGTAGGCGGTAAGTTGGTATATATTTGAGTTCCTTGTGATAGCGCAGATCTTATGCCGACTTTAAGCGTGCTTCCTCATGACTGAAATACTTTGCAGAAAGCTTCAAGCAAAATACTCCACAAATCATATTATAGTGACGACAGATAAAGAAAAGTTGTCCCGCTTACCATAAAAACATGGAATTACAACTATAACTTTAAAAATCTGTGGCACGTCCCATCGCTAGTAACCTGATCAAAAACCTTGCAAGGAATATCCATGCATCAATTTTTTTTCTGGAGCATAAATGTAATGAAATATTGAGCTCCCAAATGAGTGATGATTTCTCTCCAGTTCATTTAATATGAATTACTACATTCATTTTTATTGATAGTTTCGCAAGGTTCATGTATGTTTAACATCTGTAAGTAATACAAGTTGATATAAAGGAAAATATCATCACAGGTAACCAACCTTTCTTTCTCAGTAACATTAACATTTTGTCTGTGACATAACAATTTTTGTGCTGTCAAAGTTCATTTAAAGGTCTTAACCTGTATATTCACTAAATGATAATTTGTACAAACCATGTTCATAATCATCTAATGCTCCAGGACTTAAGAACAAATGGCCCACAGGGTCTGCTTTGCTCAACTTGATATTTAAGCAATATTCTCATCACCACAAATTCTCCCTCTTTTGACTCCTATATTTTTTAATTTTTTATAGTAAATTTGGTTGAACTATGATCAATCATTCATGTAGAGTAGGCTTTCAAATACTTAAACATCCCAATCACATATTTTTGTACTTAGCACCCCAAATAACCAAAATTATATGTATCTGAATTTCAGATGCTAGTGACAAGAAATAAAAAAGAAAAATTGTAACTTTTGCAGACATTTCTCAACTACACATCAAAGCTATAAAAACTATAACTATAAGCTAAAAATAATTCACAAAAGGTGCTTTGTTTTGCTTTTAAATGACACCTAACAATCAAAATCTTCACATTTTGTGCACAAAAACTTTTTTGCTACAGAATAACACAACCTTTAATTTAATTTTAGTATTATTTGTCATGCAAAAAAACAAAACAAATTATTTATTGTGAAATTTGACACAAAATGATGATTTCCTGTTAGGCTGACCTGGACTCTTTGATCTCTGGAAATATTACAATTCTAGCAGGTTACCAACGACTTTGCAGACTGCTATATATGTTGTAAATAGCAGACAGGTAACTGGCAATTTGAGGAAAGTAATAAATCCGTTTTCAGATTAGTCTCCACCAAGTGTGTTACTTCCTCAATAATATTTACATCTGAATATCAAGGATAACTTGGTTTTCACATCAACAAATATGAATCTGTTTTCACTGATGTACAAATTAAACAAATGTATGTCAAGTACGTCAATAACTGCATCTGGAAAGTGAGGCATTCTTTGTACCAAGTCCAGCTTTATGTGATTCCCCCTTCTGCTCCTCTGCAGATGTTAGATTTGATCAATTAACAATCATCCATCTTAACTCCTGCTGCAGCACTGTCTTAACTCACAAGAGTCATTTTCCCTCGTTCTAAACTCACCAGAGTCAACTTCCCTGTGTCTTAACTCACCAGAGTCAACTCTCCTCTGTCTAAACTCACCAGAGTCAATGTCTTCTGTCTAAACACACCAGAGTCGATTTCCTCTGTCTAAACTCACCAGAGTCAATTTCCCCTGTCTCAACTCACCAGTCAATTTCCTGTCTCAACTTGTAAGAGTCAATATTTCTGTGGCTCAACTCACCAGAGTCAATTTGGTGGATGCACAAAAAAGTTTCACTTTAATGAAGCACTTTTGTATAAGATGGTTTCACGACATAATCTGCCTTCATTTATACTTAGCTATATATATAAATATATCATTGGATGTAGGTTACTTCAGGTCACAAGTTCAGACTTTAACAGCTGCAAGAGGTAGCTTCCAACATCTTCGTCCTGTAAAAAATGTCAAAAAAGAAAAATGTTGGTACTTTAGTCAAACGTTCAAAGATATTTCAAGAATAAGTCTATACCAAAATATATTAATCATATATTTGTCCATGATGTCAGTTGTTTTATGTGTTTGATTCTACTAGCTGTGAAAATTAACCCTGATTAGCCCCTATCCGTCTGCACTCGCAATAACAACCCTGCATGCACAATCTTTGCCCAACAGTTTCCATATTCAGTTCATTTCTGGTTCAACTCCTTTTAGAAAAATTGTGCCTTAATTTCACTCATTTTTTTATCATTAATATGTTTTTTATTAATTTGTACTGAAATATATTATATATTATAGAGTGAGGTATATTTTGTATGATTTTTTTTTTAACCAAGATCACTGTTGTAGATTCGTTTCTTGTTTAAATCATCTTAAAGTTTATGATTTTTTTTATAAAAAAGTTCTGCAAGATATGGTTTTCTTTTCAGAATTGATATCAAAGGTATTGCCGGAAAAAACAGCTTTTAATGTTTAGTTATAGTTTTTTGCAGTGGTTATGTGATCCCGAAGATATCAGATAAATTATGCTTTAGATGTACCTGGTAGGACCATGACACCAAGACTGACTTGGACTCTTCATCTCCAGATACCTGGACCAGGACAGAATCTGATATGGTGATACTACCATCTGACGAATAGTGGGTAGGGAAGTCCTTCAGTTGGCTGTTTTAAAGGGGAAAAATACATGCAAAATATGTGGTGGTATATTGTTTATTTTACTATTACTGTAAAAAGAAATAGGATTTTTGGTATTGGATTCATCAGTTTGGTTATGAATAATACATGCTAGGTTTGTTTTGAACACAAACAGCAATAGAAAACTTATTTTGCAAGCTTTCCAAAACGTCTGTTTCCTTCGTCAAGCAAAGAGTGCAAATGACTGTTGTCTCCAGTCTAAACCGATGAAAACAAGTCACTGAGCCACAATGTGCCTGGTCAGTTAATTCAGCTGTCACAAAATACAGGAACTTTGTTCCAATAAGGGGGCCAACATATCATGCTTGACTCTTCTTGAAGTTATTACAGGACAATGAAATTTTAGCATTTGTTTGCATTTCTACTGAACTGCAAGCGATATGGTTGGGCTTATAATCAGGCATGGGCTTATTAATACCAGGGTATATTTATAGCAACAATGTGATAATGTACCACTGGAGCAGACATGTATACCACAATATAATAGGCTTGATACCTTTTCACCAGCTGGTAAATTTTGTCAGCAGTTTCTGTCGTGGGTCCTTCCTCATCGAAAGCTAGTGTGGAAGTAAACCTAAGCTGGTGCTCGGCTAGGCCGAAATCCTGGAGTGCATCTGCTGCATCAATCAACTGGAGCTTCTGTGTCACAAACAGGACAGAACACGATTCAGGATTGTGACTGCGTTATTCTTTGTCTATTTCTTATGCAATTCGAGCAAACTTTCTTGATTTAATCAAATGAAATATTAATGAAATATAACAAGGGACCAATGGCCCACATTTTGTAAAATTGTTTGCGGGAAGAGAATACAGCCAATGCATATGTACACAATTAATATCATGAAGAATAAAGGATACTCAACACCTCACATGAATGGTTGGGAAACTTTACTTCTCATCTACACAGTGGTTCTCTGTGGAAAGGGGGTTAACTCTTATCATAAATTATCTATCTTACATACAGAAGAGTTCTCCACACTAAATTATAAATAATGGTTTGGGACGCCCTTTCATCATTACGTCCTCAAATGACTACTGAGTGTTAAATAACTAATTTTAACACTCAGTAGTCATTTGAGGTTTCAGCCTGCTATGTGCGTAGTCATCATCAGGATGATATATGTCCATGATTTTAAGTTAATTACCTGAGTAAATACCTTGACCCTTGAAACTTGTTTCACAAAATACTAAGCTGTATCATCAGTGAATGTCATTTACCTGTATTTTTTGTGATGAAGTGATAGTATGTATACATTGATCATATTAAAACAAGTGACAACAGAAGCTACATATATCTGAGGGAAAAACAGGGTTTCAAGGAAACATGATATTAACCAGATAGTGATAATAAACAGAGTGATATTAACTGGAAAGTACTGTAGAGACTTACACTTCCCTTCATCACCAGAGCCCCATGTAAAACCCTTGGCCTCTTCGCATCAGGGGGAAGCAGACCTGTAAATGGAAAATTTTCCATTCAAAGGAATTGCATATTCAAATCCTTGAAATTAGCAGTTAGCAGAGGGTTATATCACTCATCTGGATATTTAAGCAAGCAAGGCAAATTATTCTCATTAACAGTTATACATATCAAAAGTGTTTCCAATTACATTTTAGGCTTTGCTTTCAGACTCAGAAAGAAAGCGCACATCATTTGCATAAAGTTTGATTTCCTATTGACAAGGGTTTGGTTGAAATAAACCTAACTGCATTGTCAAGAGGAATAGGCTTTTTAATACTCAAAACCAAGTTTTCTCGTTTTGGCACATTCGCAACACTCAAGGAGTAATGCTCACTTGTGCTCTCTGCATCCCTGGAATATGTCTAAGCAAAGTTGAAGGCAAGATGCTTGCTTTTTGGTTGGTCTCAGGTAAAAAAAAGACAGAAAAATCACTAAGCTGATACCTTTGCTATGAAGATTACAGAGAAGGGACATCTGACTTCAAAGCAGGCAATGTTACCATTACGCGACTGTGAAATTCTTTTGATGTACATCGAATGATCAAATTAACTAGTATTCTCATCTCACTTACAAGGTGTTGCACACTGAGCCTTCAGTTTTGTCATGACATATTCGAGGGGAGCATATAGTTTAAGTGCACGTAACCCCTGGAGTATCAAGGATGCTGTTGGCATTGCTCAACAGCCTGCAGGAGAACTGCAATCTTCCATTTTATTAAACAACAACAGATTCCATAGTTCCAAGGACCAAGTATATTTGAACGGAAATTTGGCTGAGATCCGAATGACATGTATGCGTACATAATAAAAGAGCCTCAGCTATTTCCCTTGGACAAAGTCCCTCGGAACGTGGTACACAATGTTCTTTTAGGCATAAATTTATTAATCTATGCCTAGTAACTATTTCTTAATGAATGGGAATTTCAAATGTTTTACATGTTATGACTCAGGATTAATATAAGTCCCCAGGGGCAGGGCTAGACCCAGGAGTTGATCTAGTAGCGTGTTTGGGCTTGTCTCCTCATGCCAAACTATTGTTGTAGGAATATAAGATGATTCAATGCCAGACCCTGACTGTTTGTAAAAAAGACTGAGTTTAAAAAAATCTGCCTAATACACAATTCAAACAACAGATGTAGGGGATTTAAATTCAGATATTGGGAGTTTCAAAATTTGTCTGAAACAAGACTTTTGCAGGTGACATACAATAAATGCTTAGTTTGTTTTGAACACAAACAACAATTGAAAAGTTATTTTGCAAGGTTTCGGAAATATCCGTTTTCATTGTCAAGCAAAGAGCGCATGTTTTTGAAAGCTCGCAAAGTAAGTTTTCAAATCCTATTTTTGTTCAAAGTAAACTTAGCATTTATTATTTAAATCAAACTGATGAATCTTATTCCCAGTATTAGATCTGATATGGACAGTCCTCAGTCCAAACATTTAGACAGGCAGAGGACAAGAAACTCACTCGTCATGAGAATCATTTGAAAAGACTGAACTACAGATTTCATTGTTCATTGTGCTCTCTCTTAAAAGCAGTCATAAGCGGATATCAACGTCATTGCTGAAGTGATTTTGTAGTAGTGTTACAAGTTGATGAAAGAAGCATAATTACCATATAGCAGGCTATTTATGCGGGTTTAATTCCCACTGATTATGATTTCACGATCTAGCCAGGTGAAGGAACTAAATTTTTGCAGTGTTTTGGATAGAGACTGGGCACTTAGTATATATAATGTCAAATAGTCAAATGGATATGCTTTATTACAACGTATTAAGTAAAAACAGTCATGTATGTTTTGTTAAACAAATCATCTAAAAAATCATTACAGGTGTGATATAACCTTTTTACAAACATCATTACTGTCTATGTATAGCAATCGTCACAACCCCCACATGCACGCTTTTTCATGACAACATTACGAAGTTTATATCCCAGGTCATTTTATGCTTGTCATATTATTCTGCAGATCATATTTCACGATATTGTTAATGACCCACGAAATCGTTAAAATATCATCCCGCGGAAATATCCTCATAACAAACAAACACATGCTAAATCTGTGTTTTTGTATGATAAGTCACTGTAGATACTTTGTAGTGTTTAATACTACGTACCAACTTTGGCCGATTCTCTCTTTAACAAGGACAGTGAAATATCGACAGGAATGTTATGTTTCGTCTCCATAACAGCCGTCTCCCCATTGGCTGGCATGAAACAGCCAATACCTTCAAAGCAAAAATAACTTCAATAAGATTCAGTGGAGACTAATAAATAAGATTACCCCTATGTAACTTTAGTAGACTCTACCATGCATTGATCTGGATGATACCATTATGGTCTACAGTGGTGAAAGGGTTAAACATTTCAATCAAATCTTGCAAAAAATTAAGCTCACTGATCATCTTTGTTACTGCAGTTTTCAATAATAGTTTTATTTCCTGAATTAGGTATTGCAAAGTTGAACATATATATTTCAAGCAGTGAACTGACTTTTTTTTCGCATGTGAAATAATTAATGTTTCAGTATAGTATTTGTATTACATATAATGTAGTTGCACCAACTCAGGAATGTGCCAAGTCTATATCTGTTGATATCTAACAATGCACTAAACTTTGAGCGCATTACAAAAAGCATGTGTACGGTGAGAAGCCAGCATTTCTAATATTTAGATATTAACTAAATACTAATTATGTCTATATTTTTATTTCTGAATAGCCCTCAGAGAAAACAAATGATGAAATAATAATGCATGCTGAAATATGTTGGGAAACAATGTAATGAAGCTATAATGAATGCTGTAATATGTTGGGATAAAAATATATCTCATCTGAAACCAAAATCAGATATAGACTCTGTGGACAAATTTAGTATAACTTTACTGGTCCACGTCACTGAACAGACTATCCATAGCCAGCTGACTTACTAAATTCTTGTTTGATTTTCGTCTTAAGGAACTCCATCTTGACTGCCTCCCCATGAACCAGCAGGACATTACGGGGTTCACATTGACTAATGAGCTGCATGATACCCTTAGCATCAGCATGAGCACTGAACGACATATATTCCACAGCTAATTTCACATCCAACTGTAAACGTAAATATGGCCAAAGGTAAAAGGGAGATAACCAATCAATATATTTAATATTTTTATTTTTCTCAACTTAAAATACATTGCTGATAAGTAAAGGTACTGGTACTATATGAAGTAAACAATGAAATTTAATTTAACTTATAAGATAATCAAACTCTCAATATTTTGTCCTTTCAAAAATAGCAAGATGTATTTTACAGATGAAGTTATATTGTCTGAATACTTGATTATCTTTAATACAGAGTAAATTTCTTATTGATACAATTTGACAATCTTTCAAATAAAATGAATTTATACAGATAACATTTTATTATCTTACAGATAAAATTTCTTTATCGTACAGATAAAATTAAATTATCTGACAGATGAAATTTTGAAATATCATTATTTCTATAAGAAATAAAATTTAAAAAAAAAGCACATAATCTGGGTTTTAAAAGTACCACTTTCAGAAAAACCTGAAGGCACAAGATTTTAACTTTAATTTGGTTCGAAAATCTCAGTTTTAACGCTTGACTTATGTAATTATTGTGAGTTAATTTATACTTATAAAACTCGTACAACTGGATCCCCTACTATAGAGCATATATCTCACCATTTGTTTGTTCTCCATTTCCAGTTTCCGGACGCCATTAAGGATTTTATGTCCCACTGTTCCCGCCACACAGTAGCCGGGCATAATTACCTATGGAAAGACACAGAACAAGGCAGGGTAAAAATAAAAAAACATGATGTTGGGTTGAATTAACTCATTCACCCTTGAAGACACATGAACTCTTCCAATTCAAAGGTTGGAATAGTTCATTATGAAATTTCAGGGGTGAATGATTTGAACAATTTCATATAAAAGTGAAATGTGTCAAAAACAAACACAAATGTGACTTTTTAATTTGAATTGATAAATTTGAAATAACATATAGGTTTAGTTTACATGAGAACTTATGAATTATCTCAAAAGTTTGTACAGGTTATCAGTCATACAAAGATTACAAACCATGTTCTTTTCATTGGGTGCCCAGCGTTTGAAGACTTGCAGTGAAAGCCCAGCATGCAACATTCCAGGAGTGGCAAACACCACCATTGGTCCAGGGTTGTCAATGTAGGCCCGGTCAAATGGCTGAAAGGCAAACCATATATCATAGATTGAATTCTGTTATACCTTTACCAGTAGTAACAGACAGAGGTGGTCATAAACTGTAAAACTGAAAAAATGACACAATAAATCATTTCAATATATACATGTACATTTATAAATATAGACACATTCTTAACTTGACTACTCAACAGATATTTGTTTGGTCACTTGTAGAACTTTTGAAGCTGAAAAATGGACCAAATGCATCAGGATATTGAATGCTGAGTGATGTATCCCGTAATTTAACTTCCACCTTTTTTCACTTTTAGTTATTAAGGCAATTTATCATGACATTAAATATTGGTACAATGCATACAATACATAGTAATTACAGGTGAAAGGCCAAATTAACACAGCGTAAATAAGGATTTTACCATTGAAGTGAAAATACTTGATTGGTATGGAGTATAATTTGAACATTACTATAGTACCAAAATACATTTTAACCATAGCCCGCCAGCAAGGTACGTATTTGTATCCCCTTATAATGGCTCTTCTACTTATGACATTCACCTCTTGTAACCTTAACTACTCGTAACCTTGACTACCTGTAACCTTAATTACTTCTAACCTTAACTATACTTGCAGCCTTGACTTCTTATTACCTTGACTACTTGCAACCTTGACTACTTGTAACCTTGACTACTTGTAACCTCGACTATACTTGTAACCTTGACTTCCTGTTACTTTGATTACTTATAACCTTAACTACTTGTAACCTTGAGTACTTGTAATCTTGACTACTTGTTACTTTAACTACACAGACCTACCTTTATGTGCTTGAACTCAAACATGTTTCTTTCCACAAATGTCTTTTTAATTTTCTGGCTAGTCCATGTAATAAACAGCTTGTAGTAGTGATTTGCCTGAAAATAGTAAATATACATGATCGTTAATGATAGTCTCTGATTATTAATAAATGTTATTCTGAGAAAAAAAACATGGATTTAAATTCTGTTGTATTTCAGCAAGTGACTTGTATGTTAATTACACTGTAGAGATATATTGTAAAAGAAAAGAACTACCATGGAAATTAAATGCTTTGAATTATTTAAAAAATCACATTTGTACAATGCTTTTTTTGACCAGTAAAATAATATTTGTGTATTCACAATGTCACATTATAGAATTTAATTGAATATGTTAAATGTAAATAAGGCCTATTCCAGATATAAGCATGTGCAACGGAGGGCAGGATGGCATGCAGGCAGGAGGTCACTTTTCATTTATAATGGTGAAGTTATAAAATATTGTAATTATATATTTGTATAGGGGAACCCAGGATGAAAACAATTGTGGATGTTTGGGCCATAAAAAGTGCCTCCCTATTCCTTCATATACTTATTTCCGGATAAGCCCTTTAAATTCAGCCCTTTCAAATAGTCTGAACTGTGTAAATTTCACTAATTCAGAGAAATATCAATTATAATCAAACAAATATGCAGGATTCTTGGTCTTGAAAACTCACCTTTTCTGTTAGTCCCAGGGAAAAGTAGACTGGCACTTTGAGATTCATTCTATCCCAGTAAGTCTCCAACAGGATACACAACTCCTGGGCACGTCCCAATGCAAACACGGGGATCAATACCTGGTGGTAACAACAGACGTGATATGTTTCATGAGTGCAATATAATTTGCAATACAAGTGAAATATATTTGGTGTCTAATGGGAAATCCATAAGATTTTTTAAGTACATGTACATATAACGATGAAAATTTTACTGCACCAAAAAAGTTTGGACTTTATTGTGTGATCTTTGAATATTAAGTCGGCTCCAAAACACAACTCTGTTTTTTTCGTTTTTATAATCTGGAAAGATTTGTTACGAAAGATGTTAGCAATTTTATAGTTTAGTAAATAGCCTATTGTATGAAGCAAAAATGCACCATAACAACCATTTTTTCAACCCCTGTTTTGTCAGAGAACATTCAGCCTTGTATGCAGTGAATAGAAAGAACAGTTCTGATTTGTCAATAATGAAAACGATATCACTTTTAATATCTGATGCAGTGTAAAAGAAATCAGTTACACCATATTGACAGAATCTGATATCTCACTGGCAAACTTATAAAGAATTCAAATATTGTCTTGTTTAGTGACTTACCTTTCCACCTTTATCTACACAATTATGGACCTTCTTCAGGAAGTCCCTTTCGCGACATCTCTTGGAGTCTCGGATCGTTGTAGCATATGTGGATTCTGTGATAAGTAAATCAGGACGACATTTGTCAATCCAAGCCGCTCCCAAGTGCCGATCAGGAGTCATATTGTAGTCGCCCTAAAAAATATTAACTTGATTTAACTCAAAGCATGGACATCACAGATACCCCCGCTCCGAACATATGTATGTAGTTTGAAGCCGATGAAGGAAACGGTGGCTGAGATATGATCGACACCTGTACTACAGTGTACTTTAGTATTTAAGGTAAACGTTAAAGGTGACATTGAGGTCACAGTGACTTAATTTTAGGATATAATACACTGCCTTCTCATGATGTACCTTTATACAAAGTCTGATGCCCATTCATAAACTGTGGCTGAGATATGCTTGGAAATCATAACCAGCAATGACTTTTGCAACATCATGATTTTCATGTTGGAAACTAAAAATGGTTGATTCATCTATTATAAATTTACTTTTCGACAAAACAGAATTCATCAAGTTACAAAGATTGTTTTGTACAATGAAGAAAAGAAAGACATGGCAATAAGGTCATTTTAGTACAGATATTATTTTACTGTCTTTAATTTTGCTAAAATGGTCAATTTCGCAGAATTTATAATTCTCATTGTTCAGGTTTAGTGGCAATCTCACATAGTGCTATGGTAAGGGTGGATTCATTTGCTGTTCATTTTGCAGGGATTTTCATGGAATCGAATTCGGCAAAATTTGCTAAAGCTAGAATACTGACAGGTCAGCAAAGACCCTGCTGTATGCCTGACAGTGTAGCTCCTGTATAAGCACCAAGCAAAAGCAAAAGTGATCATTGACTGTTCAGAAAGGACCATTTAACAGAGATTTTTGACAGTATATGCCCTGTTCTATTTTAAAGTAATGGCAAAGCATCCTTCGAAAATTTTTAAAGTCCTATTGCACATGTACCATCTTGTGAAATTTCAAAACATTTGGCCTTCTGTAAGGGCCTTAGTTATATGATGTATTTTTGACAGTATATTCCCGTTTCTATTTTTAGTAACAGAGACCTTGACCTTAGGAATTCTTTAAATCACTATTGCAAATTTGCACATCACAGTGTATAACCATGTGAAATTTCAAAAGATTTGGCCCTCCGGATTGAGATAATCTCCGGAAACGAAAGTGCTGACGGACGGACAGACAGACACCGTGATTACTATCGGGCACCCGCATTTTGCTGGGCCCTAATTAGAGCACAGAGGAACAAGAAATGTTTACTGAATAAGTAGCACCCTGCCCCCATACCTGAATATCTGAAATAGCCAAACACCAAGAGAAAACACTATCAAGATGAGAAGATTTGTTAAAATGACTAGTTCCTGTGAACTCACTGTGTACACAACAGACTGCTGCCCAACTTTGATGTGGAACATGGCAGCTCCCAACACATGGCCAGCATAGTAGGCCTTGATCTCCATCTCATCATCAACCTGGTCATACAAAAAAATGATTTTCAAATATTGTTGGTTATAAAAATCGATAATTGAGAACAGTTTCATGAATATGGGCCCTGGTGTCCTTAAGACATTTGGTAATAAATCAAATTTATAAAGACATCACTAAGACAAGGGGATTTTGAAAAACAGGAATGCTATGAGAAATGGTAAATTTAAAACAGGACATATCCGTGTTCTAAATCTTTCGACATATTCCACAAGGCATATGGGTTTCTTTATAGAAATTATTTACTTAAGTTATTGTCCTGCAAGTTAGATAATTTCCAATTCATAGAACAGGTTTTTGTGCAATTGTTTGTGGATCCTTAATTTCAAACGAAAAAAGATAATTTGGAAACAGTTTAAGGGAGACAACTCAGCAGATACTTGCCTGCATGGTCTGATGCAAGTTGACAGCTATAACCTTCTTCATGCAAGTTTTAATCATTTCTGAAGTAAAGAAATTGGTCTCTCCTTTTCTTTCCACTGTTATTTTCCTGTAATCCTCCTGAAAATAATAAGAAATTAGCAGATATCACAATTTTATTAAAGTTTTGGTTTCCAAAAAATAAAGTCATATTCATAAGAAGTTGTTGATAACAACATACTTGCCAAATCTCCCTATTTTGGAAGGAGACTCCTGATTTTGAACTTGAGCATTTTTTACCAGTGAACTTGATAAATTAATCCTATTTTCTAAGATCAGATAATTTCATCTGAAAGAACAGCTCCAAAGATGCCATTTAGAAGTGTTGTTTATTTTACCTGTAGGTACAATGTATATAACCACATGTTATTGATGCTTTTAATTCTGTGCATTCGTAATGTCCCCCATGAAAGTTTCAAAAAGTTTGCAAGTATGCTATAATGTTATTCTATTTCAAGTTTCACAGATTATCAGGGTGCGAGTCAATGCTTACCAACAGGATCGGACAAATAGCCTTGGTTGGATGTGTCATGTATATTGGGCCATCATACCCCACCATCTCTGACATGTAGGGCAGTGCTCCACAGTGATCCAAGTGAAAGTGACTGAAAAAATTGTGTCATATATGACATAAAGTCATAAATTAAAAATCGCAAAAAGTATTAGTATTCAAGTAACATATACCAAAAACATTGTAGCAATAAAAAAGATAGTCAACGATATCAATGTCAGAGAGCGACATCAGAGTTCTAATGATGTGCCTTAGAACTTCAAACTCAGAAACTGTTATCTTTTTTGTCTGATACCAAAAAATGTGCCCAGTGGGCATCTTCAGTCTTGGGTATTTTTAATACCCCTAAGTTTGTATAAGGTTTGAGTAAGGTTATATATATTTATCCACGGACTTAGATAACAATCTAATTCCGTGATTTATCACATAATATACTGTGTTATCCGGTGAATATACCCATGTTATATTTTTTTTGCGCGTATTACCCCATGTAATATGACCTATCAGCCCTACGATTGGTTGTAAGTTTCAATTGTTTCGATTGTGACGTCACGCCTAGGACAAGTATATGACATCAAACACTTACGCACTTGAGTCAAAATGGCTGCTTTTAACATTTCAAAGTTGCATGAAAATTGTTGTTTTACTCAAATAAATGCCACAAATCTTGATTATGTGATAAAAAGGATCTTACACAATAACACTTGTTTTCATTTCATAAGAAATTTATGAAACTCGTCACGAATTCTTCATTTTAGCTCGCCAGATGCTGTTTGGTATATGATTTAATGAATACCTCAGGAAATGAAATTTTCTATCATCTATGATAAAAAGTGGGATAAGAGTTTTAGTTTTAGGAGGTCGTTCATAATAATGACAACCCCAATCTTGGTGGGCTGAAATATGTTTCATTGCTGCTGGAAGAAATATTAGACATAGATATACAGAAACAGCTTATAAGGACAACACTTTTATCAGGAATGCTTCAAAATACTTTAGTGAACTACTAGACCATATGTAAAGTAAATTCAAGATGATTTACACACAGAAAAAATAGTTTTTTTTTACAATTTGAAATCCCTTACCTTATAATAACACAATCCAAATGTTGTGTTAGTCTCCCTTCCTTTGTAACATAGGTAAAATCAGGAAACCGTCGCTGCAGCACATACAAATAAAAAGAACCATGTCATCTTAAGTATTACTGAAGCAGAACTATACTGGGGCAATCGTTGGCAACCAAGTATCTCAATTGGTAGAGCATTCAAGTTTGGAGGGTGCCAGATTCAAAATTAATTCTGGCTGTGGCGCATTTCCCGCTCTACTTTTACAAAATTGACCAGCTTGCCAACCCCTTGTTTCAAACGCTGGGTAAATACTTGGCAAGGAGATACCTGAACCTGGGTTGTAAATACTAAAATAGTTGTGTCTTCGGGGGCAAAGACTAAGAAAAAGGAGGGAGGGATATCAGAACTTGACCTAGTTGCTTGTCGGCGACCAGAAAGCTTAATTGGTAGAGCGTCCATCTCAAGTTCGGGGCCCCTGGATCGAACCCTGGTCTGGCCATACATTTCTCTTTCTCCTATTACACTTCTACATTGAAAAAAAAAAATGAAATGTACACAGTACCTCATACTATAGTTTTAGTTACACTCCAAACCTACCTCATCATTGTATCCCATATGCATTCCACAGTCCAACATGATATTCTTGCCACCAATAGAGAGCAGAATACAACTTCGGCCAACATCTGAAATATGACATATCTAAATTTGCTACATATGCTGTTAGATTAATCTATAGTTTAACAAAAGAATCTCATTTACTTATGTACAGACTTTTGTTTAATACATAAACCAGTTTTTTTTTATAATGATTCAGTTTGGACTGACTATACTATTTAACCTGTAGTGACAGCAAGATATAATTTAAACCGATTCAAGCTGATATTAGCAATGTCAACGTCCTCGGTAACACCAAGCTACATACCCTGCCCAGCACCTGCAAAAGAAAAGCATTCCGTAAGTTTCTACTTGCTAGACAATTATCTTACCAAGTTACACAAATGTATTTCATACATTCGAATGTTTTTACATCAATATGGTGTTGACTTTACACTCTAAAATTGAATATAAGAGACCGAAATTGGGAGCCTTTGTTTATGATCAGTTTTAGCGGCCTGCCCCGGGTTTCACATCACAAGATTCGATTAGAGAAAAAGAGAGATTTTACCACTTGTCACTTACTTTTTATCACAAATAAACATTTAACATATTGTAAAAATATTACAGAATGATTACCTAGTGGCGTTACTGTTATTTCTGTCATCTTGGTAACGTGGATTTCTCTCTGTCATTCACAATTGTAAATTCACGGGGGCCGCCATATTGATTGTGTGTAAATTTTAAACCAAATAACGGTTTTAAATCCGGATAAATGTTTTGAGACTAAAATTTCTTTTAAAAAAGAGCATATTCTGAAAAATAAATTAGCTTTGATTAACACATGTTAATTATTCATTGAAAATAAACATCATTTGTGTTCATCAAAGTTTGTTCCCATTGCTTCGTAAAGTTAATGCCAGAAATTACTGTTAGTACATTGCATAACAATAGCTAAAATTAAGTCATTACTATGTGCGCAGCGGTTAACGCTCGGATATTCAAAATACCATGACACAGGTGTATGTTTTCCTACAATATCTTTATTTTTCATATCTGAATAAGTTTTTTTTAAATAATGTTTATTTCTTTCGTTTTTAGCCGTCTTTTCTTGTTAATACAAGCGTACTGATACACATTTAACATTTTTGGGAATTCAGCCTAATATCTTGATTACAGCTTCCACTGTCGTCAGAAGTGGAGAAGTGCAAGGTCAAACAGGCTATACTGGTGTTGACACAGCGAGACTCGAAGGATGAGAAGATAAGTCATGCAGGATAAGATAGGAAGGAAATCGAAGGAAATCGACTGCAAGTCAGTCAGTCAGTCAGTCAGTGAGCAGGCCAAGACATTTCTTGAACACCGGTACATCGTCGGCACAGCTAGCCTATTCAGAACGGCAATGACAATACAATGAAAGAAGTGGGAAGAAACAGACGAGAATGAGAAAAGATCGATGGTTCAGGGGGAAATACACAGAAAAGAAGAAGGGACCGGAAAGTAAGGACAGTTGAAACGGGCTCGCAGGGGTAAAGACAAAAAATGAACCTGCCAAAGTGGAAACTTTCATGGTCAGACATGTGGTGCTATATTTTTGTATGTACCATTGAGGATCAGAATCTAGCTGCGGCCGGTGCAAGAAACTATACTGTCGCTGAAGAACCTTTGTTAAAGGGGACCAGTTCAAGAGCGAAGATGCTGGCTTTGTCATGAATGTAGAACAACGGGTTATAATTAGATCCTTTCAGCATACAATACAGTGCTGACAACGTTACAAACGAGTCAATGCATGATAAGGTAATTTAGGGAATCGGCAGATGTTATCGAGTTGAAAAGGAAGAATTAGACACCGCTATGTAAGCACAAAGCGTTTCAGCCGGCGTGCAAATGCAGGAGAGAAGAAAAATAGAGCAACACAAGGCAACGTTTGCATTCTGAAACGGGCATAGGCATGGGAGATGAGAGTAGACATGGGAAGAAGTTTATCTAAACAATATTTCAAACTTTAAAACATAAATAAGTTATAAAAATGTAGAGCACACTGAAGCATAATTATTTCTAACTGATTACATTTTAAATGTTTTTAGTAATATACTAGTTTACACTATATAAACTATATAACCTTCCGATAATGATTTTTGTATCCGGTGATTGACGAGAGCTTCCTAATACTCAGGCCTGTTATAATAGGTATATTCTGATTTGTTGTTACTACTTTGGTAAGTCACTTCTGATTGGTCATTTCTATCACAGGTCTCGTTTGATTTGATAAACTTTCCTTGTGGAAGTTTTCATATTTTATTGGATGTCCCTGCTGCGCCAGGAACCTCTGATTGGCTACACTTTGTCTATCGTTTGGTAAACCCATGTAGTCCTTAAACTTCTATTCAAAAGACACTTAATTTTGAATAAAGCGTTGTTATTCAGAATGTACCTAGCACGGCAAGAACCCACAGCCAAATTAAAGCTTTCATAAGGAAAGTGTATTTAAACGTAATTGACCTGCCAAAAAGGCCCAATTTTGATGTACCTTTAGTAAGCGAAAATATCACAGCAAAACACATACAAACGGTAAATATATGCATTATTTTAATTCAGATGCTTTAATCAAAACGTCATTCATTTAACACATTCAGAACTGTTCCAATAAAAGCGAAAACTGTTTTAAAGGTGACTTCCACCCAATCGGCAAAAAAACGTCTTATTGTAAGAATGCAGTGTCGATCGACCGAATGTCTCAAAGCCAGCTATTAAGGCGTCAGAATGTGTCAGTGCCACTGTATCGGGGAGAGAATACTGATGATTTGTCCCACGTTGGTCTCCAGCCGGGATCATTCGGAGCACCGTCATTGAAATCATAGCGTTCCAGACCAGCTAGTAGTTTCGCGTCCCTGGTTTTAGCAACATCTGGCATTGTTTCCACCGCATAGATGTGTTTCAGATCCCTTGTATACGGATTTCCTGTTGTAGACCTGAACACGATATTCTTCTGTGCAGGCCAATGGGCAGTGCTTCGATAATTATCGTATGCAAATTGCTTCGTCTTATAATCTGCGTCTGTAGCCCAAATAGCTGGTGCCATACAGACAAAAACGACAAAGCGCCACCTATCGGAATGGACCCGACCTCGTTTTGGGAAGACAGCATCGTGGACTGTACGTGAATCCCAGATCACCATTCCCCCTTTTGGCACGGCTATTATTCTTTCTGTACATCCCTGTTCTTTGTACCAGTCAACCCATTCAGGCTTGAAGAGAAAGAACTCCTCTTCGTTTTCCTCATCGTCAAGTACCATGGCATCAGGAAAAGCCTCCTGGAATTTATCGTGGTAGAGATGAGAATTTCCAAGAACTCTCAGACAGTGATCGCTCTCAGAAGTTTCCTCTAAATATACTGCTGCCTGGTATACATGAAGTCCTTTTCTTGTTCGCCCTTGATCCAGATGAAGCCAGCTTTTCCCATCCTCTCTATATTTTCCTTTGGCTGTTTTAAGTAAAAACAAAGGTACAATCAATACAACGTTACAGTATAGGTGATAAATATGATGGATGTCTTAGAATGATATTCAGAACAGTTTTTGCAATTGGATCCTTAGTGCAAATTGTAAATGAAATTGGATTTATATAAAAGTAAACCTAATTGGCTATTGCACCGATTCAGTATAAAGCAATGTAATAACCGTCAATGTAGCAACTTAAACGTGTATATATATATTCCAATTCAGTTTAAGTTAAATTAATTCGTTATAGCTGTAAACTTAAGCAAAGACTCAAATTTTGATATTTTTATTGATCGCTAGCATCCCTTTTGATCGTTATTTTTGTATATCTCATCTACGATCTTTGTTGTTATTTCATTAACATTACAAAATTCTTTTTAAATGATTTTTAGCAATCGACTTTTAACACCTCAAAGAAATAAAAAAGAGGTAATTTATCCTTTCTTTTGAGAAAATGAATTACCGATTTCAGGCGGTACACCAATAGCTATCCCATCCATGCTGCTCAGGAGTTTCTCCGTGTTCCATAGAGAGGCAAAGACTCGTTTGGCCTTCAGTCGCACCCTCCATGTGGCATCAAAGTGGCCTACTCTGTAGTAGTGCATGAGGGAGTCATGACTGAAGGGCAAGTCGTCGCCAAACTTGGCCACCCAGTCCTTGAATTGCTGGGTGTATATGTCACACTCCTCTGTTGTCACCACACCGGAAACCACTGAATAACCTTTGGTCTCAAGGTCACGTGATAAAGCCTCCCTTCAAAGAAAACAAACAAAATGTAAATTAAGGGTGTTGTTAAACCAGTTCATGTTTAAACAAACACTCCATACAGTGAATCCTCGATACTCCAGGGGTTACGCTCACTTTCGCTCTCTGCACCCTTGGAATATGTCATAGCAAACTTGAAGGAATGCAGCTAGCTATTTGATTGGTCTCGGGTAAAAAACCCACTGACCAATCGCTAGGCTGATACCTGTCCTTTGAAGCTTACAGAGGAGCGATACCAGACTTCAAAGCCAGACAATTGTTCCGTTATGCAACCTACATATTGTTTTGATGTACATCAAATGATCAAACTGGTCTCGTCTCCTAGTCTCACCCACAAGGTGTTGCACACTGAGCCTTCGATTTTGCTATGACACATACCAGAGTCGCATCTAGAGAGCGTATGCGAGCGTATCAAGGATGCATACAGTGTAGTTGGTTCGTTCGACACCAACAGATTTACGCCGTTCACAGATTCTATTGCATAGAAAACAAAACGTGGATATTATTTCTTATTTCCCAAATGGCTATTTTTTGCCTTGGTAAATAAATGCAATTTCACAGATGACATGATGATAGCTTTACTGAAAAAAATATGTCATGTGAGTGTAATTCTATATAGTGGATCTTGTTATTGTTTTTTTTTTCTTACGAGTCTAATGAACCTTTCGTGAATTCCTAAATATTAACTAATTGTCTATATATTATAAGTTTATTAACAAATCTTTTCTGGCATTATAATTCCAACCCCCCCCNTATCCCACTTATGCAATTTAACGTTAGTTGCCCCTTATGATAATTAGAGTTCTTTTTAGGCCATCAAATCAACATGTGACAGTTGCATTGTGTATGTCGGAGCACGAACCACTATCTCAAAAACCTGTGCTATCATCAAAACCATTGCTTATTTGTGGTGATAATACATAAACACGAACTGTGACCCTGTCCTATTATCAACCACTGTGCAGTATATATTGAATATAGGCATACATGTAGTAGATATCGGTATAGGCAAAACATTAACTATAACATCAACACACAAGAACAGAAACGATTCGTTAATCGAATTTCGAATCCAGCATTCAAAGCCAATATACATTGAGGAAACACTGAAAGTATACCACATTATCGTATGTTGCATTGTTCATAATCCCCCTTATTTATATATGTGTGTGTGTGAGGGTGTGTGTGTACGTGTGTTATGGAGCGTGATTTGAGTGTACAAACATATATATGATATGCTAAGAAAGTATTTTATAAGTTTTCAAATGTCATCATATAATGTTTCTTTTTCTTTCTGATAATTATAACTTGGTTGAATGTTCTAGCCTATATGTTTGTAAGTGTATATGAGTGTGTCTTGTTGAGCTATGTATTTAATTATGTTTTCTGTCCATCTATACCGGTTAGGAGAAGACTTACATAGGTTAAAAAATCTATTGTCTCATCCAATTGTTCAATTGTTTTTGTCCAATAAAATTTATTGAAATGCAATTGCCCCGTCAAGACAAAGAAAGATAAAAGATTCTTGGAGCATATCTATCAGTATGGTGAACACCTGGGTGCGTATTCATTGAAACCGTTCTCATGCTCAAACCAAGATACTATGCTCAAGCCACTTGTGGCAGTGAAAAAGAAATATAAACATCATATCTTATCAATGATATGTAAGCAATTGGGAGGGACTATAAGCTTAACACTACTTCCAATGTTTACACTTTCCTTTTTGACCTCGTGACATGATTTAAGCAACTCACAAGAAAGTCGGATTATCACAGGATTCATGCTTGAGCATGAGAAAAGTTCCATGAATACGGGAACCGGATATGGTTATATGAAGACGTAGCATACCTGGTTATTGACAGGGTATCTAAACAAACATGTCTTACCTGTCCATGACAGCCTGATCCACGACGGTAAATTCAGGGCTACATGTACCTGTAACACAGTGACCGTGGTAGTTGCGTTATCTTGTGTATAAACAGTGATTAACCGTTATACATCCGTCGAATTTATCACCTACAGGTATACGTGGCTATAATCTGTGTAGGATAGTTAATTGTGTAAGGTGTTGTGGAAATGTTTCATTTGCTTGGAGATTTGTCAGCTCATTTAGCCGTTAACACAGTGATTGCGTGGTGTGTGTATTTTCTGCCTTTGATAGCACAGCGAAAAACAACAAGAGTATATCAAAGTGTTAACAAAAAGTAACACTATGCACTTCGAACTTCAAATCCATAAAATTAAAGCAAATGTGAACAAAGGAAATGTTTACAAAGAGACCCTTGATAAAGTATAAAGCCAGGTATTCCGGAAGGGTAAGCGTCTTCTGATTCATTGATGACACCCATCTTTTAAACTTAAACATCAAATCAAAATAATATCACGTTCTTATACCTGAAATCGGGTCAGTTGAAAAGCAACAACAAGGCACACCAATGCGAATGAGCAATTTTCCAAGGGATCATAATTGCGACTATGACACTTTTTCACAATCTTCATTTACCTATCTTTGGAAACCTTATGATGTATGTTTGTCGGTCCTTTATCGTCAATTTTCACGACAATAATGATTTTCTGGTCAATTCCTTTAGTAACGAATACACTGCGACATGTAAACACCCTAGGGTTCAAGATGTAGGGATGCTACTAGTGAGGAAGGGAAAGTTCTCGATCTAAAAATTGAAATCGCCACGCTTATCGTACAGCTTAGTAGTGAGCCGTTACTGTCGGTCATGTTGTGAGAAGCGATCGAGGAAAGTACCTAAAGCAGGAGAGTCTAGTGTCCTTGATATCAAGTTCATGGGGGTATATCTGATCGATGTGGTAAATAGATGTCTTGTTAATAACAGAAAACACAAATCTTTGTGATATATCAACGGACAATTAAGGGAATTGGCAAGGTTTTTGTTGCTAGCTGTGCTGAACCTCAGTCTAATATGAGGAATGTCTACGATCTGCAAGAAAATCCTGACACCGAACTCAACAAAGATATTGCCAACCTGGAACTGGTAAATTGCTACGATTTCATCCTTAGGACATTGTTGTGCTCTTTTTTTTTATCTCTTATAGTTACAAAAACAAAGGTTTTCCTGTAGTCTGGTAAATTGTACGAAGTATGGCTAAGAGTGAAAAAGTCAAAAGTTCTGATAGAATGAACATTTGTTTAAGAAGAAAATGGTCAAGATTAATCAAGCGATCTTTTTAATATTCCAAATATACCTTTCGGTTTTTGTCTCGCCTGCGATTGTTGTCGCGGAGGCGGAACTTGGGTTTTACTTTTCCGGTGGCGACGTCAACCTTAAGTTTTTGCGTTAAGCTCTTTTTCTCAAAAAGTATAAGTGCTAGACCAACCAAACTAGGATCATACATGCGTCTTACATACTTGATCTCAATCCATGCATTATTTGCTGAATGTGCCCTACATTTCGCGGTCCAGTGACTTTGACAGCATCGTCATCAATGTTATTATTTTGCGTTTAGCTGTATGATTGATGCTGTATCTCAAAAAGTGAAAGTGTTGGACTAAATAAACTTGGACTGTATTCCGTTCATCCTATGCTGAATGTTCCCTATATTTCGCGGTCCAGTGACTTTGACAGCATCTTCATCAATGTTAAGTTTTTGCGTTTAGCTGTGTGTTTCATGCTGTATCTCAAAAAGTAAAAGTGTAACTAACTCAACTTGGACTGTAGTTATTTGAGACATAGTGTATTTCAAATCATGCATCCTATGCTGAATGTGGCCTATATTTCACGGTCCATTGACTCTGACAGCATCTTCATCAATGTTAAGTTTTTGCATTTAGCTCTGTTTCTCAAAAAGTATAAGTGCTAGACCAACCAAACTAGGACCATACACGCGTCTTATATTTATAACCCATGGATTACCATGCATGATATGTTGAATGTGGCCTACATTTCGCGGTCAAGTGACTTTAACAGCATCTTCCTTAATGTAAAGCGTTTGCCTTTAGCTGTGTGGTATATGCTGTATCTCAAACATTTAAAGTGTTGCACTAAGGATTATACTTAGACTGTAAGTTGGGATAATCAGTACCATCTTTAGGGTTACAACGTCAATGTTTCAACAGAATAAGACAGCAACATGGCCGCAGTATACTGGCTTCTGATTGGTCGAAATTAAGATATTATTCGATTTCGCTCAAATTTTTTAAGTGGGTGTATTTTGTCACTCCGAACTGCCGCAACATCCGTTTTCTGATTTAACAAAATGGCCACAGTATATTGGCTTCTGATTGGTCGAAATTCAGTTTTTTTTTTATTTCGCTACAAATCGGTATGTAAGTGTATATTTGCAGTGTGAACTCAACCGCAGCATCCATTTCCTGATCTAACAAGGTGGTCGTTGTATACTGGCTTCTGCATGATTGGTCGAAATTCACATATATTTTGATTTCGCTCAAATTTGGTATGTACGTGTATTATGGCACTGCGAGATCCATTCTCCTATTTACATTTGCTTATGAATAGGGGGCGACATACATGTATGTAATGGCCGGCTCCCATTACAAGTCGCACTTGTTCCTTTTATGCCTCCATGTTGATGTATTGCCAAACTTGTTTATAAAATGTAAAATTCCGAAATTCGGCTCAAACTTGCAATGCTTGACACAATGAATCTTATGCTCAAAGTGGGGACAGGCGAGACATCTAATTACGCATAATTCTTGTATTACAATGGTACATGTAGCTAGTTTGAATAATGGTTTGGTTGAGCAACTAGGAAGGCAAGTGATAATACGTATTTATAAGGGATCTTCTGAAGTTAAGTAACAAAATACAAACGAAACATTCTCATTAGTTATATCTGTTCGGAACGATATTCATACAAAAGCATGAGTAACTAATACTTCTCTTTCGAAAAATTTCATCAGTCAAAAATATTTTTATAGGTAGGAAATAAAATAGCGTTTGCAGACAGGTATTATATATTTAAATAATAAATTGTCTTTTTTCTTATTAACCGCAAAGGTCATTCATAAGGAATGGTTCCGACCTCGTTTTGGTAAGACAGCATCGTTGACTGCACGTGAATCCAATATCAAAATTGCCTCCTTTGGAACGGCGATTATTTTTCTGTTTGTATACAATAATTATTTTTAGACAGTATATAATAAATACTAAGAACAAGAATCTCAAAAATTAAGTAATGAAAAAATGATATGTCACCGTAATCTTAGCTTCCAGAAAACTACCAACGTTAGTTACAAGTTTGATAGCTATAAATCTACCCTGAAAACATAGTGTGAAAATCTATAGTTCTCTTACCCAGCTGACACTGTCATATTTATCATTCAATGTTAACGTTACAGGCCCAATGCATTATTGACGTGATGTTAATGCGTTGTTCGCATGACGATACTGTGTTTTCGACACGACGTCATACAATTGTTATGGCTAGGGTGAGACAAGGACATCTCAAACCAGGAAAACTTCGGATACTCCTTTCCAGGGTAAGAGAATAATAGAATCTTTCACCACCTTGGGGTGAATGATTCTTTTTCTCTTACCCTGTTCTCCCATTGTGTATCATATACACAATGTAATGATAACGTTACATGGCAAATTCAGGGTTGACGTGACGTTGATGGATTGTTGACGTGATGTCATTGTATTGTTGAAGTGACGTCATGCCATTGTTATGAATAGGGGAATCCCCCCACCCTAAGGTGAGACAAAGAATTATCTTACCCAGGACAGGGATATCCACCATTTGACCGGTGTGAGATTTTCTTATCTCACCATAGGGTTGAGACAAGCTACACGTGTTCTTTGCACGTTCTCAACAATTGTATGACGTCATAGCAACAATACCATGACGTCACGGCAACAATACAATGACGTCACGTCGACAATTCAGCCGCATCACATCAACATTGTCTTGCATTGATGTAACGTCTCCATAAAATACATAAGAGGGTAAACAGGGTAAGAGAAAAATAATCATTCCCCCCCTTGGGAGTGAGACAGGGTGATCTCAACCCTCGGGGTAAGATTCTTAAGCTGAAAAAAAGTATGCAAGCCTCGTGTTTGACAACTTAAGAATCTTCCCCCTCGGGTTGAGATTACCCCGTCTCACCCCCAAGGGGGTGAAAGATTATATTAATCTAACACTGGTAAAAGTGCGGGTACACCAGTCCAGGGTAAGAGAATAAACAGCCTCGAAGGAACTGTACTACGTTAAAACCAAGCTATCAAATTGTGGTGTAACACAATAACTTAAACAATATTTGTTATAGTCAATGTTTAATTGATAAGTAATTTTAACAACAGACGATGATTATACACGCAAAACTGTTACAATGCACATAATATATATCATGTATACTATATATGTTTTGACAGCTGGATGAACTGTCTTAAATAAAAATGTTGTTCAATATTTTAGAAATATTTCTGTTATTGAACCAATACATAGTTAGTTGTTTATACATATTTCCAGCAAGACTTAAATATCTAAAAGTTGGTTACCAAAGAGTCAATGCAGATACCACATTTTTTATTTTGAAATATCTTTCAATTGACATCGATTTCAATATTTAAAAAATATTTCGGAAAAAGCGTTAACTGAGGTTTTGAAATTAAACATCTAACCATCACTAACCACTGTACACGGGAACGATTGTCTCGGAAAAACCTATTTCCAATGAGGTTTTTTTGCACCATGAAAACAGAATAATGGCCCCTGACTTGGTTTATAGTTCCAGCAACACGTGTGTTTTTTTTACCATTAGGTGTAAGCGAAATTCGACGTATGATCCAGAAAAGTACAGGTATGAAATGTTGAGATTTCGCAGTGTAGATTGTTTCCGAGCCATTATTGTTTTCTGAAATAAATCACGTTTGTTGAGAACTGTGTTTGTTCCAGATTTGATTTGGTATTGTTTAATAATATTATTTTCAGACACCCTATAAGAAATACCAAGAATATTCTTAGAACAAAACCTTAATCAAGAAGGCACTGGAAAAAGATGTATGGATTAATATCAGAGTGGTGAATGTTTTTTACAAATTTATAAGTTATCCCTCTTTTATTAGGCTCCATTTAATACAAACTGAAGGTCCGGATGAGAAATTGAAATATTCACAGGTGCGTTGTTAATACGAACACATACATCAGCTTATTCATCCTACTCCGGCGTCAGACATATTGGTATTCACCCTGAGGAGTGACAGCCGTCTCGGTTCCACGTAATGAGATTCTTCGTTAAACTATTGAAGTTTCAGAAATAAAGTCTGTGTTTTGAAAAGCATACATTTTGCTTTGGTAATACTGTTAACACATGTATACAATACAAAAACAAGTTGGAACAACATGTTTGCGAAAGATGGAAATAAAATCATCTTTTCACAGCGTAGATAAAACCTCCATACGAGAGAACGTCCCGCTATTCAGTTGCTGAAGATGATACATCTCCATACTAGCGGACTGCAAGATCCATACATCCTCCTGTGATCACTCGTTGTCATTACTCTCAAACATGAAGTAATCCTTTAAAATAGAGAAATACATAATGATATTCTATAATCTTTTTTCACTTTAAATATATCAAATTACTGTGTAGTGAAGAGATGTGAACTGATCTATAATGTGTTTTTTAAACGAAGGAATAACTCTCTTCCCAAAAGAAAACAGACAAAAAGAGTACGTGTTTAATTTTTCAGAATGAAAAAAAAAATGGATGTCAATTTTGGCCTTCTGGTTGCTATCACCACGGACTTAGATCTATAACTAATCTAATTCCATGCTATCACCGATAAGTGCATTTGTAGAGAGAATCGATGACATATTATACAATTATGGACGTTTGTGCTGGTTCGCCTCGGTCAATACCACTCTTTCAGGTTCATATAACATCATATTTACCAGCACAAAAGCCCTTAACTGTTTTATTATATGCTTCAACAATAAAATAAAACAAAACAAAACTCAAGGTTCTGATTTTTGTACGCGATTTAGCCAGGTTTGAATGCAACATTTCAGCATCGTATCTTTCGAAGACATCGTCTAGGTTCTTTTTCTTCAGATAAGCATGGAGGACATGCACTGCGTGTTCAATGGCCTTTTTTATGTTAACAGCATCTTTATCCCCAAATGGTTTTGGAAATTGTCTGATGTAACGGAGGAGAAAAGTTCGCCAACAGCCATCTTCTATTTATCGTCTGACAGATGGCGTTTCGGTCTAACTGCGCATGCGCTACGACAGGTTCCGGGGGATTTCCATGTAGGCTATATTTAGAAATCGATATTCACCGGATAACCAGTCTACATGAGTTTTTGAGGACTGGTCACGTGTATCTGATCCGACCAATGTGATTGCGAGAAATGTTCATGCATATAATAAAAGCCAATATTACAAGGCCACAGTGACTTTCCTGCCAACTATGTGCTACCTTTTTCCGTCGTTGTATTATGTGCAGCTTATGTTTACACAAAACATTAAAATTATTATGAAAGTGTAAAACGGGACCATTTGTGGTTTTGTTCCCCAACTTTACTCCCTCATGTCTTGGAATTGTCTCCAAGCTGACCTTAATCAGTTTATGTCATATTATGACGGCATAACCCAAAGGTATATATACAAAATAAATATTACTTATCGATGATAGGTACTAGAAGGCCAAAATTGTCACCAATCCTTTGATACACAAATCAGAATACACTTGAACGAATATGGGACGAAGAATAAGAGTGTATAAAATCAGCATACGTATTACTTACCAGCACAAATACTGCTCCAAAAAGGGAAAGTTTCTTTTGAACATCCATGTTGGCAGGAACTAACATAAAAAAAAGTTGTTTATATTTTATATTATATACGAGATAGGCATGATCGGCAAACTAACTCACAACTGGAAAAACGGAGGATAAATTTGAACGTTCTTAATTAAGTATAAAGTTTTGCATCATCGCTAAAGTTCGATGATTAAGGAGTGGAACAGTAAAGTGGGTTTTGGTAAAGAGCTCAATTGGTGATATGATGTGTCTTAATTCGATCATGACGTCACGTTTAAAATCACGATGCTTTTATGTTGTTTTTACTCTTTGTGACTGTATTTGTACTGACGGAATAACAAAATATCATTTTTCATCATTATTTTCATCATGAAACTCTTTTCATCAGTTCAATTACTAAAAACATGTTATAGAAAAATATGAAAAGTTCAGATTGATATATAAAATATAAATCAATAGAAGTGAATAAGTATAATTCTACTAAAAACACCTTGAAGGGTTTTACTCATTGTACATGCTCATATATACATTGTATCCGTTTTAGCTGTCAGATCTTTTCCACGATGTACATTCTTATATATACAATGTTTCTGTTTTAGCTATCAGATCCTTTACTCACTGTGCATGCTCATATATTTAGTCATTGTATATGCTCATATATACAGTGACTGTGTATCTGTTTTAGCTGTTTATCCTTTACTCATATATAAAGTGTTTTAGCTGTCGTATTTTTCTGTTGATCATTTTATGGTATTCATTTAGTGTTGGTTGGATATCAATAGTTTATACTTACAGTGAATGCCAAACGTGTTTGCGTTTGTACAACATGCCCGTCCAGCTCCATCCCAGATCTTCGTCACCTTGGCACCGGAATCCGATCCCCCAGAATTGCTCAACTGTGGGAAATGTTATATATATTTCCAAATTACCAAAGCATTTACCATAAAGCAGATGTCGCGATGGGGAAATATGGGAAACATGAATAAACATTTTTGTTAGTAGAATAGTGCTATGATTATCAGCATATTTTACACTTTTGATTTTGTAATTAAACAATATCTTGCTATTTTGAGAAATGGAAGTACCTACCGGATACTCTAAATCATCATAACATCCGGGTCCCTGGCATGGACAACATGGCCCCGTCATTTCAAATACTTGTTTACCATACCCATCAAACACGTGGAACTTGGGGAAACAACAGTAAAACCTACCAAAAAACGGGTAGTCATGACAACATAGGAAAATCGGTTTGAATCGTTTAAGTAAAGGTTTTTGGCTATTGTTTACATAAATGTCATTTTAACAGTGTACTTGTCCTGTACATACAAAGGTTATATAATTTACAAAGGCTATGAAAGATTTATATTATCAGGAGGAGGTTCCAAAGTGAATGAGGTCGTCACATGGTTTTGCAACTTTCGTTGCTCAGGGTTGCAAAAGTCTAATATTTTAGGATTATCGAAATCACACGTAATGTAAATACAAGATTTGAATCCTGCTGTTTTGTGGGTTATTTTTTTAATAAAACCTCAATTTGTTTTTTGGAAATGTGAAATTTGATATTCGCAGTTCACTGAATTTGCTTCAAGACCCATTTAGGTTTATGTCCAATGAACCTCAACAGAATCGGATTTAATCCTTAAGTATTCATACATTCACATTCACACTATGTCTCAGTAGACCATGACATACATAAATATGCCATACATACTCACACATTGCATACAACCAGACCATGATAAGCAAGCATGCTCATATACGATGGACGTTATCGGAATTTGGTTTACACAATTAAATTCGGTAATCAGATCATGATATTTATACACACATTCACATTGCATGTAATTTTACGACTACAGTATTTTAATACATATTCACGCTGTTTTTCATTAGACCAGACAATACCGTTCACACATAAAGTACAAGTTTAACCTTGTTATTCAGATATATTCAGATTTTCTGAAATTTGACCAATATAATTCTAGGTATTCTCACATTCCTGGCAGTTCGACATCAATGTACAGTTACTTACATTTGTCTCACATGTGCTATTGGTTGACCGACGGGTCGTTCGACAAACATCTCCATTGCGCAACAGTCAGCTTTAGCACACACACTTCCTCCTGCGCAGCATTTGAAGTCTTTCTTAATTTGGGCAAGCTCCTGAAAAAAGACAAGACAACAATTTTTTTGTTATATGTTTAAAGTCCGCATGGCTTCCAGCCAAATTTGTATGACAACTGGTCAACCAGAGGTGCGAGGAGACTGCTGCGAAACAATAAATATAATAAAACCGGTCGAAAATAGGTTTGCTGTAGCAAATATAAATGTACAAGGAATGAACAACCGTTTACTGATATGACTATAGTTTTGATTACGAATTTCTGAACAAGAAACCAAACCATGCGGAAAGCATGTGAACATATAAATGTATAAATAAAGATCAAACAAACAAAAACATTAGCGATAGTGTTCTGAGAGGAAAACAAGCTGCAACGGAACCGAAACGATATGATTCGAACCCTGCACCCCATACCAAAATACGGTCGGTCACTCTAACCAACTGAGCTATTTGGCCAGCGATAGTTCTCTTGCCCGGCCAAGCTAGTTATATCCAAAATGAAATTAAAGGGGAGTGTGCAGTATGCATTAATAAAACGTCACATTATTTAATGTTTTGCCTACATAGAGACAGGTTCTGCATAAAAAGGCATAGAGGAAAAGACAAAATCTGCGCTGTGTCGGCTACACAGTAGTCTCCTCATGTAAACAAGTAGTATACAGCAGTGCTATTTTCGAAAGCCTACTAGTCCCCTATAGTGAATACTCGATGCATCAGTTTACCATTAGGATAATAGATATAAACACCGCTATGGTTACTATATGTAGTTTACGTAGGAACTATCTTAATAATCAAGGTTTTGGGACACGCAGCACAGTGACGATTATGAACACGTTTGACGGTTGCCATCAGGAAACACCTCAGTCTCTAGGGTGATATGAAGATCGATATATTTGATAATGCTCATCAGTGTACTTTGTTGTTAAGTTTCCACTTCCCTAATTCTCAGTTTAATGAGGTGGTATTACGAAGGTTTGTAGCCAATGAAGAATACGCTTACTCTTTCGGAACACATACGGGTTCTTACGGGTTTGTTAACAATGTGGTATTTTCTTGAAGTATTTATAATAAAGCAGTTTCTCTTAAAGGTATTTTAAAGATGATTCAGAAGATGGTTGTATTGCTTACATTTCAAATATAAAACAATATCTATAAATAGATGTCTTACCTGGCCGCTTATATCCTGGATATGGAGCACAAGCGATCTTTGACTTGCGGTGCAGAACACTCGCTGGCATGTGGCTGATTCTGCAAAGGTTATAAAGGTCATATGTAAAGCCGTCTTTTGTTTATCCAGTCATCAATCATCTAGCTACATGTAGCTCATACATGTGATACGTTTGACTGATTTCTGTTTTAATATTTTAAAAAATCACAAACTCTTAACCGAGTTTCTTTTGCTTGGAGAAATTTCCGAGACTCGACTCTTTACATTAGTAAAGGTTAAAGTCGTCTATTAAATTAACGTAAATCATACAGTAGCCTCATACTTGTAAAGATAGGGAAAGTAATTAAACATTTAACACCAAAGAGTTGACGTATTGACAGAGCATAATTGCATGATTAGTTTTTTGAGATTTACAACAAACTGTCACAGCGCTAACATGTACCTCATTCATCTCATAATCGACAAAGACAAATAGAAATCAATTTGATAACAGTAGCATTAAAAAATCTGTATCTACCAATAACAAAGCATGGTTTTGGTGTCTTTAACATTAGTGTTCAGTAAAAATGATATTTTTGTGATTAACTAGTCTGTTAATATCACAAGATATATTCTAGTGACATAACAGAAAGTTCTAAGGGAAGAGAGGATTATTTTTTCAGTAAGTTCACAGGTTGTACATTTTTGCGGAAAAAATGTATACCGCAAAAATCGTTAATTCTATAATCCTGCAAAGATGCCACTTTTACAGTGCTACAAAAGGAGTAAAATATTCCCCAATCTGATTGAAATTTTAAATGTTCACGAATTTTCTCAGAACGAATTGATAAAATTTGAAAGAGCCACTTATTACTTAATATAGTTATTGGCATTAATCTATCAATAACAATTTCCCACATGTTTTTCCTGTTCACCTTCACATGACAAGTTACTGTAGCATACCTCTTCATAAAACCCTTTGAGATACTGATCACAAAACTACACTGCCATACCTACTTATCATCAATCGGGAACCGTCGGCACTTTTATTTTCTCGTTTACGGAAAGTGCCGACGGTTCCCGATTGACTTATCATGTGACTATAGTACAATACATCCTGATCACGTGACTTCAGTACCGTATTTTCTGATCACGTGACTACTCTACCTTCTGTGACGGTTATGAAGACTCTGTCGTTAGCATCGCACACTTCGTATCGATTTTGTACCTCCCATGGTGTTATGACTGAAACAATTAAGATAAAGAACGTATGTAAGGGTGTCATATTCCGTCTTTGCGTGTTGCAGAGTTATCTTCTCTTGGGAGCAGGTATTGATTGTTACGTCATTGGTCTGTGTGAGAAAATTACGTCGTTAACTCAAAAATTGATGACGTTATTCTCACAAACAAGTGACGTAATAATCAATGCCTGCTCCCAAGAGAAGATAACTCTGCAATACGCAAAAGACGGAATACCATTGGATATATTGATCATTGATACAACATTAAATCGGTAAATATTAATACGTACGTAATTGTTAAAACTGATAAAAAAAAATGCAGGGATTAAAAACTATCACCTCAAGATAATATACACGAAGATGTTCTAATCTCTTTTAAAACTAAACACGACTGTATAACACGAAATGTTGGCGGATACTTTCCTTCGTGGTTTGAAGACATTTAAATCTATTCGTGGCACAAACCTTTCGTGGATATCCTATATTAACAAATTGTATACACGTATATCATTCAAATTCGTTGCAAGTATTTTCGTGGTTCAATAGAAAGCACGAATATTTATACACAACGAACATTTCATGTTATACACCTTTACAGGGAAGTGATCGCCTACAGAGATATACACAAGAATATTTATATCTCTTCACGTGCTTTTGTATCATTGGAAATATATAGTTTTTAAAATTGAAAGTATGCCTTCAGATAGTAAACACAAAGTTGTTCATAAGTTTCCATAAATGTTCAGAAGAAGTGAATTAAACATGATTTAATGGATCACTTAGGTAATTAAGTTTATGAAGTATGGTGTTACTGTATAAAGGATGTTTATCTATAAACCTATAATTCCCTTCAAAATATGAACATAATAGGGTCATCTCACTGTAGCTGATTGACGTGTCTCTTTAACACGGCTGGTAATGTTTATAATTGACGTTTTCTGATATTAGAGCAAAATAACAGGTACAGTCAGTAATACTTTGAACCCATTCATAAAATACCTGTATTAGACTTGGGTCGTTTAATTATCGGTGTCGAACCATGAATGGAAATACTTATCCAGGGTATGCCAGTTGGTATTTCACAGAGCATAGCGAATGGGGATATAACGGATTGACAGTAAACGGGGGCATTCACACATAAAGGCAGATAAGCGAGGGTCGTTGTTTTACTTATGGTAATAGATCGAGCTGAGATGACACATAGTTCTCAATCGACCAATATAATAACGAGATTTCCCAGGCTATTGCGCATTGGTATGTCGTGTGGTACTTACGTTCAGCTATGTCCACTTTTTGCCGGATCTTTACGAAATCCAGATTTGCCAAGTAGTCCAAAGCATTAATAGTGCTTTCATTGGTGGCTGGAATGATACATGTTGAAAATGTTACATATATAAAAATAGCACTAAAACTGTGTATGTTTGTAAGTTAGGCAATCCAACCAATCAAAGGTAGTTTGTGAGTCATTGTTTACAGTTTTAGTTTATCAATTTCGTTTTCTAAATATAGGGTTAGTTATTATTACTGCAGCTTGCTTAAATTCCTCCATGATAACTGGTTCGGATAGTTTTTCTTCATCATAAATAACCTTGTGTCTTACAGACTACTTATATTCTCACGATTATACAAATTGATCTTCCAACACATATGTCCTTCATGCATAATCTGACTTGATATTGACGGCGATAAAATTAGAAGATGTTCAAAAAAGAATATACATGTTTAAACGAAGAATATTTTAAAAAAATGTAATATATTAAAAAATGTAATATGTGATAAAATATTCTATTTTTAAAATACCTGATATGCTGATAGATTAATTAATTCATCTTTGATAAATTTGCAAAAATCAAAATCAAAATAAATGTATGTTGAAATAAAATAATTGATATCTATATATTAATGATCTAGATAAATTGAACTACAAGATTTTTTTAATTCCTAAGTAAAGAGGTCTTGAACATATTAGAAAGTATAGGTTTAGCCGTCGAAATGCTGTTTAACTAGAACACTGACAGGTCAGTAAGGGCCCCGTCTTGTGGCAATATATCCCCCCCATAATCATCAAGAAGCAATTTGCCCTTATAGCTGAGTTTGACGTTTGACATTTGGACTTCAAAAAGAATCGCAAGGAAGCAAAATATACATTTTACATTTACTATGATGTGAGTCTTGTTTCCTTCTACCTCCATATTTGCTGGGCTAACAGAAATGTAAATACCGGTACAATACTCATTTGTTAGCTTTGATTTGTTTTATTTCACCTTATATACATAATGTACCTCATCCATCAAGAGCCAGGGTCAAAGTCAGAGATCCACTTTGTCTTTGACCTTTGGACCCAAATGACCTTGACCATTAACCCAGTGACCCTGATCTTTGGTCAGTTGACTTATTCTTTAATTCCGACCAACTTTGCTTCTTAATATCATAACAAAATGTTTATCAGTGAAAAATACAAAAATTGACCTTGACCCTTTGGACCCTGTAACCTGGACCTAAGGTCAGTTGACTCTGTGTTAAGTTCTGAACAACAATGTGTATTTTTGTGAACTGAACATCTTGGCAAAGTTTCATGTACATCGGTCAATAAATACTAAAGTTATCAGCCAAAAACAAAATTTGTGGACGGACAGACAGACAGACAGACAGACAGAGTGATTACTATAGGGCACCCGTATCTCCGATACGGAGCCCTAACTAGTCCATATTCATTACGTATCTGTTTTGGATTCTGTATAAATGTTTTCATACTTTGTTCCACGAAACCTTATTAGCATTACCGTCTATGTAAACTTAATAGATACATACCAACCGGTTGTTTCATTACAATGCCATCCAACTCCATAGTTGTTTGTGAGCAAGATATCTGAAACACATAGTCATATTTTATTTCTGGATAATTAGCATATTTTTTATGTGAAGTATTGTTTACCGGGATTTTTTTGCATGAATCTACCTTTCGCCTATTTTGAAGGCAATTTTATCACGACAGCGAAAATTATTAACAACATAACCTGTATACATGTAGAAAGACGCAAAGGCTATTGCACTTCTTAAATTTGGTAATAGACACAGTTAGGCAAAAATAATCATACTGCATCATACAGCTGTTTTGTCCTTACATGCAAAGGGCGAAATTACAATGGCGAACGTATTACCAAAGGAGGGCAAATAATTGACTTGGTGAACAGGGATATTACCAATCAAGGGCAAATATTTGATTGGGCGAACAGAAATATAACCAATGAAGGGCAAATAATTAACTGGGCGAACAGAGATATTACCAATCAAGGGCAAATAATTGACGGGGTGAACAGGGATATTACCAATGAAGGGCAAATAATTGACTGGGCAAATAGGGAATTACCAATCAAGGGCAAAAAATTGACTTGGTGAACAGGGATATTACCAATGAAGGGCAAATAATTGATTGGGGGAACAGGGATATTACCAATCAAGGGCAAATAAATGACGGGGCGAACAGGGATATTACAAATGAAGGGCAAATAATTGACTGGGCGAACAGAGATATTACCAATGAAGGGCAAATAATTGACTGGGCAAATAGGGAATTACCAATCAAGGGCAAAAAATTGGTTTGGTGAACAGGGATATTATCAATGAAGGGCAAAGAATTGACTTAGCGAACAGAGATATTACCAATGAAGGGCAAATGATTGCCTGGGCGAACAGGGATATTACCAATGAAGGGCAAATAATTGACTGGGCGAACAGGGATATTACCTATGAAGGGGAAAGCATTGACTGGGCGAACAGGAATAATACCAATCAAGCGTAAATAATCGACTGGGCGAACAGGGATATTACCAACAAAGGACAAATAATTGACTGGGCGAACAGGGAAAAGGACAAATAATTGACTGGGCGAACAGGGATATTACCAATAAAGGACAAATAATTGACTGGGCGAACAGGGATATTACCAATGGAGGGAAAATAATTGACTGGGCGAACAGGGATATTACCTATGAAGGGAAAAGCATTGACTGGGCGAACAGGAATAATACCAATCAAGGGTAAATAATCGACTGGGCGAACAGGGATATTACCAATAAAGGACAAATAATTGACTGGGCGAACAGAGATATTACCAATGAAGGGAAATTAACTGACAGGGCAAATAGGGAATTACGAATCAAGGGCAAATAATTGACTGGGCGAACAGGGAAAAGGACAAATAATTGACTGGGCGAACAGAGATATTGCCAATGAAGGGAAATTAACTGACAGGGCAAATAGGGAATTACGAATCAAGGGCAAATAATTGACTGGGCGAACAGGGAAAAGGACAAATAATTGACTGGGCGAACAGAGATATTACCAATTAAGGGAAATTAACTGACAGGGCAAATAGGGAATTACGAATCAAGGGCAAATAATTGACTGGGCGAACAGGAATATTACCAATGAAGGGCAAATAATTGACTGGGCGAACAGGGATATTACCAATAAAGGGCAAATAACTGACAGGGCAAATAGGGAATTACGAATCAAGGGCAAATAATTGACTGGACAAATAGGGAATTACCAATGAGGGGCAAACAATTGTCTGAATGAACAGGGATATTACCAATGGAGGGCAAATAATTGACTGGGCGGACAGGGATATTACCAATCCAGGGCAAATAAATGACGGGGCGAACAGGAATATTATCAATGAAGGGCAAATAATTGACCGGGCGGACAGGGATATTAGGATATTACCAATAAAGGGCAAATAATTGACTGGGCGAACAGGGATATTACCAATGAGGAAATTACCAATGAAGGGCAAGTAATTGACTGGGCAAACAGGAATATTACCAATCAAGGGTAAATAATTGACTGGACAAATAGGGAATTACCAATGAAGGGCAAACAATTGTCTGAATGAACAGGGATATTACCAATGAAGGGCAAATAATTGACTGGGCGAACAGAGATATTACCAATGAAGGGTGAACAGGGATATTACCAATGCAGGAACAGGAATATTACCAATCAAGGGGAAATAATTGACTGGGCGAACAGGAATATTACCAATCAAGGGTAAATAATCCACTGGGCGAACAGGGATATTACCAATAAAGGACAAATAATTGACCGGGCGGACAGGGATATTACCAATGAAAGGCAAATAATTGACCGGGTGGACAGGGATATTACCAATGAAGGACAAATAATTGACTGGGCGAACAGGGATATTACCAATGAAAGACAAATCATTGACCGGGCGGACAGGGATATTACCAATGCAGGGCAAATAAATGACGGGGCGAACATGAATATTATCAATGAAGGGCAAATAATTGACTAGGCGAACAGGAATATTACCAATCAAGGGAAAATAATCGACTGGGCGAACAGGGATATTACCAATGAAGGGAAAATAATTGACCGGGCGGACAGGGATATTACCAATGAAAGACAAATAATTGACCGGGCGGACAGGGATATTACCAATCCAGGGCAAATAAATGACGGGGCGAACAGGAATATTATCAATAAAGGGCAAATAATTGACTGGGCGAACAGGAATATTACCAATCAAGGGTAAATAATCGACTGGGCGAACAGGGATATTACCATTAAAGGACAAATAATTGACCGGGCGGACAGGGATATTACCAATGAAGGGCAAATAATTGACTGGGCGAACAGGGATATTACCAATGAAGGACAAATAATTGACTGGGCGAACAGGGATATTACCAATGAAGGGAAAATAATTGACTGGGCGAACAGGAATATTACCAATAAAGGGCAAATAATTGACTGGGCGAACAGGGATATTACCAATGAAGGACAAATAATTGACTGGGCGAACAGGGATATTACCAATGAAGGGAAAATAATTGACTGGGCGAACAGGAATATTACCAATGAAGGGCAAATAATTGACTGGGCGAACAGGGATATTACCAATGAAGGACAAATAATTGACTGGGCGAACAGGGATATTACCAATGAAGGGAAAATAATTGACTGGGCGAACAGGGATATTACCAATGAAGGGCAAATAATTGACTTGGTGAACAGGGATATTATCAATGAAGGGCGAACAGTTGACTTAGCGAACAGGGAAATTACCAATGAAGGGCAAGTAATTGACTGGGCGAACAGGGATATTACCAATGAAGGGCAAATAATTGACTGGGCGAACAGAGATATTACCAATCAAGGGCAAATAATTGACTGGGCAAATAGGGAATTACCAATGAAGGGCAAAAAATTGTCTGGATGAACAGGGATATTACCAATGAAGGGCAAATAATTGACTGGGCGAACAGGAATATTACCAATCCAGGGCAAATAAATGACGGGGCGAACAGGAATATTATCAATGAAGGGCAAATAATTGACTGGGCGAACAGGAATATTACCAATCAAGGGTAAATAATCGACTGGGCGAACAGGGATATTACCAATAAAGGACAAATAATTGACTGGGCGGACAGGGATATTACCAATGAAGGGAAAATAATTGACTGGGCGAACAGGGATATTACCAATGAAGGGCAAATAATTGACTTGGTGAACAGGGATATTATCAATGAAGGGCGAACAGTTGACTTAGCGAACAGGGAAATTACCAATGAAGGGCAAGTAATTGACTGGGCGAACAGGGATATTACCAATGAAGGGCAAATAATTGACTGGGCGAACAGAGATATTACCAATCAAGGGCAAATAATTGACTGGGCAAATAGGGAATTACCAATGAAGGGCAAAAAATTGTCTGGATGAACAGGGATATTACCAATGAAGGGCAAATAATTGACTGGGCGAACAGGAATATTACCAATCCAGGGCAAATAAATGACGGGGCGAACAGGAATATTATCAATGAAGGGCAAATAATTGACTGGGCGAACAGGAATATTACCAATCAAGGGTAAATAATCGACTGGGCGAACAGGGATATTACCAATAAAGGACAAATAATTGACTGGGCGGACAGGGATATTACCAATGAAGGGAAAATAATTGACTGGGCGAACAGGGATATTACCAATGAAGGGCAAATAATTGACTTGGTGAACAGGGATATTATCAATGAAGGGCGAACAGTTGACTTAGCGAACAGGGAAATTACCAATGAAGGGCAAGTAATTGACTGGGCGAACAGGGATATTACCAATGAAGGGCAAATAATTGACTGGGCGAACAGAGATATTACCAATCAAGGGCAAATAATTGACTGGGCAAATAGGGAATTACCAATGAAGGGCAAAAAATTGTCTGGATGAACAGGGATATTACCAATGAAGGGCAAATAATTGACTGGGCGAACAGGAATATTACCAATCCAGGGCAAATAAATGACGGGGCGAACAGGAATATTATCAATGAAGGGCAAATAATTGACTGGGCGAACAGGAATATTACCAATCAAGGGTAAATAATCGACTGGGCGAACAGGGATATTACCAATAAAGGACAAATAATTGACTGGGCGGACAGGGATATTACCAATGAAGGGAAAATAATTGACTGGGCGAACAGGGATATTACCAATGAAGGGCAAATAATTGACTTGGTGAACAGGGATATTATCAATGAAGGGCGAACAGTTGACTTAGCGAACAGGGAAATTACCAATGAAGGGCAAGTAATTGACTGGGCGAACAGGGATATTACCAATGAAGGGCAAATAATTGACTGGGCGAACAGAGATATTACCAATCAAGGGCAAATAATTGACTGGGCAAATAGGGAATTACCAATGAAGGGCAAAAAATTGTCTGGATGAACAGGGATATTACCAATGAAGGGCAAATAATTGACTGGGCGAACAGGAATATTACCAATCCAGGGCAAATAAATGACGGGGCGAACAGGAATATTATCAATGAAGGGCAAATA